GCACTTCCTCCCCCCCCCCCCAGATCTAAAAAGCATGAGTCCTATGAAGACCAGTATGGCACTAAGGAAGATCACTCCTATAATATCAGTTACGGCTCTTCTTTGCAACAAGGATTGATCCTGAATGAAATGCAAGGGAGTGTCCTGGAGAATCTTGGGGCTCCAGCACACGAGGTACCTGTTCTTCTTCCCTTCACCCCAGCTAGCTTTGCATCACCTTTTAATATGCCAGCCAACTGTGGGAATAATGTCTGTCATACCCAATGAATGGGCAGACCCTAGGAATATCCTTGGTTTTATTTATTTGCCTCATTGATGTCCTGCCATTCTTCAAAATGGGGAACCAGTGAGCCTTATGTCATTACTTCACTTCCATTTTATCCTCACAACAATCCTGTGAAGTAGGTTAGACCGAGTGTGAGTGGCTGGCCCAAGATCATCAAGTAAGCTTCCATGGCAGAATGGGGACTTGATGCTGGGTCTCCCATAGACTTGCCAGTCCCCGGGTGGGGGTGGGATATTCCCTGTTTGTGTGGGCTTTGGCCCACCACCTACCAGTTGGCTGGCTGGGGAAACCCTGCTTCCAAACAGATGTCCCTGTGTGATGTTGCCAGTGTGCTGACATCACTTCTGGAAATGACGTCATCGTGTCAGCGACATTGGGGCCGGCACTCTACTTTTGGGGTAAAACTCTATGATTTGTAGCCATTTTTACCATAGAGTTTTGCACAAAAAGTAGAATGTCGCCCTGATGTCGCCGATGTGATGACGTCACTTCCAGAAGTGCTCTTAGTCTGACATTCGCATCACCACACCAGACTTTGATTAGCTTTGCTGTGCCCTTCCATTCCTATTGGCACCCTCTCCCATCTATTTCTCCTGCTTGCTTTCCCCTCCTGTAGGCTCTGGCACTTGAAGAACCAAGCCTGCTTCAACAGTACAAAGAATCTGGCCTCAGCTCCAGCACTTATGAGCTAAGTCAGTACATCTACGATGCTTCCAGTCTGTATGAAACAACTCCCTCCAAGGACTGGAGTCCAGTCCAAACAGGTGTGTTGGTTGACATCATCAGTAGCTAAGGTGAGGCCAAGTCCACAGGGCAGAAAAGTTGAACTCTTGCCAAGGCCTTAAGATCTCAAAGGGCCCACTGGTCTCAGTTGGTAAGGAGCACCCGAGCAGATCAGGGCAGAATCCAGGGCAAGGCAGCTGAAAGCCCGGGGGAAGGGGGGGCAATTTTCAAACAAACACCCAACAACTCAAGGCACGATACAAGGAATTAGGCAGGTAGAGACACTGAACCTTCAAAATCCAGATGGTTATTAAAGGGCTCCATAGCTGGTCCTGCAATTGCACTAGTTCCCGGTACACTAGGGGAGCCTGATCCTAGTCATATTTAGATGCAGTTACTTTCTTTGAAAGGCATCCATCACATTTTATCTCATCTTTCCTCAGGGTGGCTCTGAGGAGCTCAGGGCAGCTTACGCAGTGTTCCTGTTCTCTATTTTGTGCTGACAACATTCCTTGCAAGGTAGATGAGGCATAGAATAAGTGACTGGTCCAAGGTTGCCTAGTGAACATGGTTCTTCCCAGTTCTAAACAGATCTAACCATTACAACACACAAGCTCTGCTGAGGATAGGAAGGCAATTTACTACAGGATGAGTGCTCTTCTTTTATGGCAGCTCATGGCTGGGCACATTGGGTGAGTGCTTCAGACTCCCAGTTGGGTCCTGTTGACCTCCAGGCTCCACTGCAGGCTGGGGCTCGCATGGGAATTCTCTTCCACAGCTGAAACTTCAGGGTTTTTGCTGCTTTGATATGAGGGCCCCAGTGATTCAGTCTCCTCAGTGGCTGTCCCTTCTGAGTCCAGCTATTCGTGTTCTTGGGAAATAACTATCTCACAGAAAGGTGGTGTGACGTCCTCACTTACTGGGGAGACAGTTTTAGCTTTAGAGCACTCTCTGTGTACATAAACTTGGTAGATTTCTGCTGCCACCAGGAATTAAAAATTCCAAATCTCTCTCTTTTGGTAGAATGACCTAGCGTCTTGGCACTTCAGAGGACTGTGTGGCCCTGAGGAAGGCCTATTCTGATTTCTGGGATAAGTTTAAACAAAAAAGTTATTTATTTAATAAAGAACAAAATAGGTTTCTGGTTATATTGAACTGTTGCTGATGAAAGTAACTTGTAAATATAACCGGCAAGGCTTGGTGTCACAAACAGTCTCTCAAACTCCCAAAACTCCACTCTGACAGGTGTAATCTCTCTCTCTCTCTCTCTCTCTCTCTCTCTCTCTCTCATATCTATTTAGCCACTCAGGCTGAACTCTTTGTCTTATTCACACAGACTAGACTCAAAAATTCCCACAGTCACACAGACTATGCTCTCCCTTCAAACTTCTCACACAGAATCTCCTCATAGACACCCCTCCTCCCACACTCTCAGTTATGAGCCAATCACATCACACTTGTCTCCCTCTATCACTCTTCTCATATTACTGCAGTCAAACTAAACATTTAAAGAAACACACACACCAAAACATGAAATCATTACAGGTGGGGTGAGAGAAATGATGGGTTCAATTAAAACACACACACACACACACAAACAAGGGGCACATGAGTGCAGAATCCTCTGCTCCACTTGTAGCATGCCTTCCTGTCGTTCTTTTGCCTGGCTGAACTTGAGAAGGCCATCGAGATGTCAATAAAACGAAGGCTTGGTTTACACACTGACCAAGCAGTAGAAGCTGCATGGCAAAAGACCAGACACAAACCACTCCCTTTCCTCAAGCATTTCAGGTGTGAATTATGCAGGCTCCTATACACAAAATTCTGATCTGTGCAATTCCCCCTCCCTCCTTTCTGAGTGGGAAGAGTAGTGCAGATCTGAGGGCGGTGCATATGCCATGTACCCCCCCCTGGAGCATCCTGACGATACTTTATCATGTGGTGGTGCAGGCAACCCTTCCTCTACCGCACGAAGATGGTTACAAATGTGTGAACTGGGCCACAGGGCTACCTCTCTTCATCTGGGTCCTTCTATGGCTGTATCCACACATGGCTGCATATTGCTCTTTCATTGCAATGCGACGGCCATTTATTTCCTGGACTATCAGGTCCATGCAGAAAAATCCAGTTGCAAATGATTGCTGATGGCACTACGGTAGGATGGAGTCCAGTGAAGTGTGGATGCTGCCTAGCTCTCTGTTGTTGGGCTGAGTCCCTGGCTGTTGTTCCTGCAATTACAGTCATATTTTTTTAAAAAAAATATTACAACCTCAGGACAGTCACCAAAATAACATTTTCAGATCTATTGATATAAGAAAATACCTACGATCGAACAATGGCAAGCTCAACTTTGGGACTACTTTATCATGAGTAAAATCTCAGATAGAGTTAATGATACCAAAGTAAATAATTCCACCACTAATTTTGTTAAAGTATAGTTTCCTGTAGTGCAATATATAACTGGAAAAGATACTCTTCCAAAAAAATACATTGGTCCTTGCAGTTCACCCAGGACCCTGGGATGCGCCGGCAGAAGGACGCGCCGGCGATCCCACGGCCGGGCTTGATGCGGCCGTGCTGGAAGGTCCACCTCGGTAGGTGGTTAAGTTTTGCTGCGGCTTTTCGGGCGGAAGGGCCGGATTGGGGACGGGTGCGCAACACTTCCCAGATGTTGCGGTGGGATCGCGCCCGTTTGCTCCGCCCCCGATCCTTCCCTCTCCCGGCCCCAAACCTTTCGCGTGACCGGGGCCATTGTATTGTATTTCTTTAACAGATTTCTGGTTTATTGGTAGATAATCAATTGCAGTCATCTTGAGGACAATAATGGCTACTTATCTGCTTGCTTTTGGGGTTTATGGAAGAGGACACCTGTTTCAAAGAGGGAGCTCGTGGGGCTGTTTGTGGTTTCAGCTGGCTAGCCAGGCTGGTGGTCCAACTGCTGGCCTGGGCCATGGACTAGTCACAGAAGGACTTCACATGTCTGCTTATCTTATAGGAGAAGATCTACTGGCACCCCAGAAGTTTCCCTCACCCCACGTACCTGTCTGCTTTGGAGCCGGAGGGCACCTGGTCCGAGGATGTCCTAGTTACCCAGCAGAAGGGCAACCTGCCCTTGTTGAAATACACAGCCTGGAGGTGAGCGTCACTTTGCCCCTGGGGGAAGCAAAAGTGGGTGTTCTGTATCTGCCCAGAGCCAGCTTGATAATTTTTTTGTTGCCTTGGCACAGTGATCCCCAGCGTGGCACCCATGGGTGCCATGATGCTGGTCAATGTGTTTCCTGGAACCCATTTCCCCAAAGTGCCTCTTCCCCAAAGCAAAGAACCAGTCTGGGCTTCCCCCCATTTCACTGGAGCGATTCCACAGCTTAGAGGGTACATTGAAAGGGAGTGTTCTGTATCTGCCCAGAGCAGCTTGATAATTTTTTGTTGCCTTGGCACTGTGATCCCCAACGTGGCACCCATGGGTGCCATGATGCTGGTCAATGTGTTTCCTGGAACCCATTTCCCCAAAGTGCCTCTTCCCCAAAGCAAAGAACCAGTCTGGGCTTCCCCCCATTTCACTGGAGCTGATGGCACTTCAGACAAGGTCAGGAAATATCACCTTGGAAGCTGCAGGAGTCATACATTCAGAAATAGCCTCCTCCCCAGTAAAAGGGGAGGGGCTGTGGCTCGGTGGAAGAGCCTCTGCTTTGCATGCAGAAGTTCCCAGGTTCAATCCCCAGCATGTCCAGTTAAAAGGACTCAGCAGTAGGGGATGTGAAAGGCCTCTGACTTGAGACCCTGGAGAGCAACTGTCAGTCTCAGTAGACAGTATTAACTTTGATGGACCAAGGAATCCGATTCAGTATAAGGAGCTTCAAGGATGCTTGGTGTGGGATCTCCCAACCTTTTGTGATGGCTCCCTTTAGCAACCATTTGTGGTGGTGCTTGCTAACCTTTCTTAAAGCTCCAAAAGTGCCCACTGGCTCAACAACTCTGGGGATTCCTGCCTTGGCTCTCCCGTGCTTCCCTTTTGCTTTCTGTTGGACATGACTGATGCTTTACAAGCTTCCCTTTCTGTGGAGTATTTCTTTGGGCCTCGCCTGTTGCCCGATGGGCGTGTGATGGCAAATGGAGTTGGCTGTTTCCTTTCAAAGCACCCACCTGCTGATTTCTAAACACACAGTAAAAGCATCCCCGGTTTTCAGTTTCACCGTAATCATCTCAAAAAGGAAGAAGACCGAGAATAGAGCCCGCCTTATAGATTATGTAGAGTGATCTTCTTGGGCATGAGGATTCAAGGGAAATGGCTAATGTACCGGGTTAAGAAAGTGAGTGGTAAGCAGGGAAAATCGTGGTTCTTAGCCCTGCTGCAAAAATACCAGGTGGCCCCAGGCAAGCCATCATATCTCGATCTTTCCCTGGATTTGCAGCCTCAGGGTGATTATGTTGCTCATTTGCCTAGCAGGGCTAAAGATTACTGTGACAGTGTATGTGAAGAGATCTGAGCATTTTTGCACATGGGTTTGACCATGTGAAGTCAGAGAACCATAAATAAAATAAAAAATGGGCAGTGGGGTGCCCTGGGCTGAATTGGAAGTCAGGGGGCCGGGTCCCGAGAGGCCCCACTATAGCCACGGGCCTGGGCAGGACCCTTTTCTGCCCTCTCTTTGTCACAGGCTGTCTGATTCACCTCCCCACCCTGCCCCTTGCAGGAGCATAGATCTGGCTTGACATCCCTCCTGGTCAACTTATATGTTCCAGGACGCCAAGTGCCACTGGCAGAGAACATGGGCAGTGCTGCAGGAACCCACTCAGAGAGCCAGTGGTTCCAGATGAGTAGAACAAGCACATGACAGTCGATTTCCCATCGTCAGTTTAGCTTTACGCTTACAGTCAGGATCTCACTTTTTCTGAATCTGCCCTTGTTGTTCAGGTTATTTTACATGACACTGCTGAGCAGGAGGCTATGCGAGTCTTCCCAGGACCTCTGATCAGGTACGGTATCTCTGGAGGACCATAGTTAGAGATTTCATAGGACACGTGCAGCTGATAGACTATTGGTTCTATCTAATCCGAAGTTGTCTCCTCTGAGGGGCAGTGGTTCTCCAAGGTATGAAGCTGAGAAAGGTTTCACCCAACACTTTCTACCTGATATCCTTTGATGGACCTTGTGTCATTATTCATGTTCTACAACTCGGTTTGATTGTTCCTCTCTCAGCATAGTATAGCCACCTTGAACCAAGAAGAAAGTTGAGGTATAAATGTTTTAATAAATAGATTAATAAATAGGTATAAAGCAAGGTGACGCGTCCACCTCAGGCAGTTAAGATTGGATGCCATTATGTTTAGGAAACAAGGTGAGCATACCAACAGGCATAGTCCAGGGAATAATCCAGCAGGCTTCTCCTGTAGAGTTGCCAACCTCCAGCTGGGGGCTGGAGTTCTCTTGGAATTGCAGCTGTCCTCCAGACTACAGAAATCAGTTTCCCTGGAGGAACTGGCTGCTTAGGAGGGTGGACTCTAGGGCAGGGGTGTCAAACATAAGGCCCCGGGGGCTGGAACAGGCCCATCCAGGGATCTTACCTGGCCCACAAGCAACTGGTGTGTATGGAAATGTAAGGTAGTCCCCCTTTTATGGTATACCTTGGGGGAAAAAACCTAGTCTTGCGTGTGATTAAATACGTTTATTGGGGCTTTTGTGGGTTCCCCAGTAAATTAATTGCTTTCACTGCTACGAATCAATTGCTTTGTTTATATTTTGAGTTAAAAATGATATTGTTAATTGGGTTCGCCTGTGTCCTTTATAAAGTTTATATCTCCAGTACCTGGCATTACATTTTATGGCACACATGGCCCGGCCCGACAAAGTGATATTTATGTCAGATCCAGCCCTCATGAGTTTGACACCCCTGCTCTAGGGCATTATACCTTGCTGAGATCTCTTGCCTCCCGAACCTCTGCCCTCCCCAGACTCCACCTCCGAATCTCCGGGAATTTCCCTACCCAGTTTTGGCAGTTCCCTCGTGAAAGCCACGCTGAAATGAAGGGAATCATTGTAGACATTATAGTCTTCTGGGCAGCTTATGTTCATTTCAACGAAACTTTCTGTGCTCCCATTTGTTTTGGCTTGCAAAATGCCCAGGGCCAGCCTCCATTTAGGTATACCGTGTGTGGGAAGGATCAGAACATTAAAAAAAGGGGGGGGGGCTACTGGAATATATTTTAAATTGTGTTATAAGATAACTAAACTTTCAGAAATACTGGGCAGTGCTCCAGAATGTATGCAGTAAGAATACAAGGGACAAAACAGAAAAGAATACAAACGGTTGATATTTGTCTTCTATCGTAAGTGCCGTCAAGTCGGAACTCTCTTATGGCCACCCCAGCAAGGGGCTTTCGAGGCAAGCGAGAAACAGAGGTGGTTTGCCTTTGCCTTCCTCTGCAGAGTCTTCCTTGGTGGTCTCCCATCCAAGTACTGACCAGTGTTCCCCCTAAGCTGAGTTAGTGTGAGCTAGCTCACCGTTTTTTAGCCTCCGGCTCACACATTTTTGCCTTCGCTCAGGAAGGATGGCTCCAGAACAAACGAATCTATGCAGCAGCCAAATAGCTCGCTCACAGCGTTAATGCCAGCAGCTCACAAAGTAGAATTTTTGCTCACAAGACTCCACAGCTTAGAGGGAACATTGGTACTGACCCTGCTTAGCTTCTGAGATATGACAAAACCAGGCCATATTACCACACACCTTCCCTCCTGAAGATCCACTGAAGTGTCATGAGTATGTGGTCTTCCTCAGGAGAATGACTACAGGAACTAGGATGCAGCCTACAAATGTGTTTCTGCATTGCTGATCGGTCTGGAAATTGTAGCATTTGCAAAACATGAATGGAGACAAATACACAGCCTGTGCCAGTTCCCCAAGGGACTGGTTGTACAGTCTTCATGGGTTCCCCTCCGGTTGCAGCTACAAAACTCTCAGAACTCTCCCTGACTCAGACTGTGCATTTGTTGTCTCCGTTCATGTTTTGCAAATGCTACAGAAACACTCTAAAGTTCCTGCTGCTCCTTCATCCAAAGAAACCCCTGATAGTACTGCCCCTGGGAGTTCTCGCTCCTTAGGGGACTGGAGAACACAGCTTGAGTCGTAGGCAGCTTTTCTGTTGTTTCAGGGAGGACCTGCACAAGGTGGATGTGATGACGTTTTGTCAGCGCCAAGCAGCCGTGGGCTGTGACCTGGCATCTAACCGGGGCCGAGATGCTGCCTTGCTCTGGAAACTCCTTCTACTTCTTTGCCGCCAGAATGGGGTACGTACCTCCTGGGTGGTGTGCACGTGTGTGAGAGAAAGAGAGGCTGGATCCTCTTACCATGTAGGTCTCCGCTAACCTCCCCAACACAGACTTCACTCTTACCCCTTTTTGTTTTCAGCGGAACCAGAATCTGTTAGTGTCTTGGGTTTCTTCTAAACCTGGATAGGATGACCCCAGTATTTATTTCTTTGTGTCATTTAAACCCCACCCTTTCCCCCAGTGGGGACCCAAAGCAGGTGACATCATTTCCCCTTCCTCCATTTTATCCTTACAACAACCCTGAGGAATAGGTTAGGCTGAGTGTGTGTGACCGGCCCAAGGTCAACCAGTGAGCTTCCACAGTAGAGTGGAGATTTGAACCTGGGTCTCCCAGACCCTAGTCTGTTGTGCTAACCACTATACCATGCTGGCTTTCCTCTTCTCAAGGCCTGCTCTGTATCTTCCCTCCACCTGTAGTTTTCCGTGTTCTCATATTCTCTGCTTGTGTGTTCCTGTTGCTCAGGGGTTGTTTCGTAGAAAAAGAGCTTGGGGAACTCATTAGCATAACTCATTAGCATATGCCACACCCCCTGACATCACCGGAAGTGTGTCATAAGGCCACACCCCCTGACATCACCAGAAGTGTGTCATAAGGCCACACACCCCGCCCCCAACGGTCCCGGCCGCAGCCATTTGAGGGGAAAACTCTGTTTTCCACTCAAATGGCTGTGCCCCGCCCCCAGCATCCCCAGCGTCATGACGTCACTTTCCTGTGACGTGCATGAGGCGCGCGCCTGCCGGGAGCCAGCACAAAGTCCCCCGCCGGCAGAGGTAAGTCAATTTGGCAACCCTAAGTGGGTCATTTCAATATTATATTGCTTTATGTCCTGCGATTTAAATTTGCGGGGAGATAAGTGGGACATAAAGTGATGTAACATCAAATTGACCACTAGAGGGAGCAAAACAGACACCCCCCCCCTCACAGTGAGGAAAATGAGAATTCGGAAAAGGCCAAGGACAGGAACCTTGAGATATTCTTCTGTTTAAGCCCCATCGACAAAATACACTGTGGTGCGGTTGACAGTATCTCAGTGGGGTTTGTTCAGGAAATCTTTACCAGTAGACTGTGTTTGCACAGTAAATGCCATTTTCTATCTAGACAAATAATACAATACTTTCTTTTCTTTCTGAAGAGCTTAACCTGAAACATTCCCCATTGTCAGGCATAACTCCAGATACCGCCCCCCTCACAATGAGGAAAACGAGAATTCGGAAAAGGCCACGGACAGGAACCTTGAGATATTCTTCTCTTTAAGCCCCATCAACAAAATATACTGTGGTGCGGTTGCCAGCTTCCATTAATCTCAGTGGGGTTTGTTCAGGAAATCTTTACCAGTAGACTGTGTTTGCACAGTAAATGCCATTTTCTATCTAGACAGATAATACAATACTTTCTTTTCTTTCTGAAACATTCCCCATTGTCAGGCATAACGCCAGATAATCCCTTTGGGGCTGTTCCAGGCAGAACTGAAATAAATTTGAGTTATGAAACAGTAATTCATGATTGTAGAACAAGCATTTGGTATGTGAAATATGACAAGTATTCAGATGACATGTTTGCCGAATGAGAGGGATTTGGCAGATCTGACCATGTTCAAAATGAATTGACATATATTTTACAAAAATCCCTTCCCTGCCTTTCAAATGCCGGTCAGAGCATCTGAAGAGGTTCACGTGATACAAAGAAGTAAAATAAACCAGGTTCGAACCCTGTGTTGAAAAAGGACAAAGCAAACCTACAGTTAGAACAGCATAGTAAAAGCAGAAGACTGTACCCACATCAACATTTCCCAATTTGTGGGTCATGAAGCTGTTGCAAGTGTGTCCTAGGCTTTGTCAGCTTTATTGATTTGTGCATGGTCTGTTTTTTAAAGTGGGTCATCATACCAAGTCAATTTGGACTTGTGGGCCACCATACTGAAAAGGTTTGGAACCCCTTATCTAAATAACCATTGTCTTCCAGCAACCTATGCCTCAAAGGCTTTTTAGAATCATAGAATGTTAGCGTTGGAAGGGACCTTGCAGGTCATCTAGCCCAACCCCCCGCACTCTGCAGGAGCATAGCCGAAAGATAGCCCTGCAACATACCCAAAAGATGGTCGTCCAGCCTCTGCTTGAAAACGTCCAGCGAAGGAGCATCCACCACCTCCCGAGGCAGTCTGTTCCTCTGCTCAACCACTCTTACAGTTAGGAAGTTTCTCCCGATATTTAGCCGGTAATGACTCCCTTGTAATTTCCACCCATTAGATCTAGTCTTGCAATCCAGAACAAGAGAGAATAGATCCGCTCCATCTTCTACATGACAACCCTTCAAATACTTGAAGACTGCAATCATGTCCCCTCTAAGCCTTCTCTTTCCCAGGCTAAACATACCCAACTCTTTCAGCCTTACCTCATAAGACTCGGATTCCAACCCCCTCACCATCCTGGTTGCCCTCTTCTGGACACGCTCGAGCTTGTCAACATCCTTCCTAAAATGTGGTGCCCAAAACTGGACACAGTACTCCAGGTGAGGCCTGACCATAGCAGAATAGAGCGGAACTACCACCTCCCGTGATCTGGACACAATGCTTCTGTTAATGCATCCTAAGATTGCATTAGCTTTCTTTGCAGTCACATCGCATCGTAGGCTCATGTTTAGCTTGTGATCAACCAGAACACCTAGATCCCTTTCACATGTTCTGCTGTCAAGCCAAGTCCCTCCCATTCTATATACCTTTGATTTTTTGTACCTAAGTGTAGGACTTTGCACTTATCTCTATTGAAATTCATTTTATTTGTCTCAGCCCACTGTTCCAGCCTATCGAGATCATTTTGAATCCTGACTCTGTCTTCTTCAGAATTAGCAATCCCACCCAGCTTCATGTTATCTGCAAAAGTTCTTCACTAGCCTTTTAAAAGGGCCAGTTGAGCTGATCAGGAGAGTTTCCCTTGAGATGGGAAGCCACCACTCAGGAAGCAGCCTGGGACCCTCATACCCACAAGACCACCTCTCCCGTTACAACCCCTGCACTCACTTCGGTCATCCTCTAGTGGCCTCTTGCAGGTGCCTGGCCCCGGACTGGCTTGGTTAGCTGTCACCAGGGGAAGGGCCTTCAAGGGGACTGGTACCTACCTTATGATAACACCTGTGCTCTGCTGGGCTTGTTTAGTTTCCACAGGGCATGCAAGGCCGTATTGTTTAGGTTGGCTTTTGGAGTGTAATCCACAGGTGTGGTGCCTGCCTCATATTTAATAGTTTAACATTTTAATGTTAATGTTTTATATTAGTTATCTGTTTTGTGTTGTTTTTAATTTATTCATATGGTTTTCATGTTATATGTTGCTGTGAGACACTTTGGGTGAGCTGTAACAATCCAATAAATAAATAAAGCCCCATTTCGTGTACAGTTTAACTCTGCCCCAGGTGGTGAAGGCACCCAAGTAGAACGTCATTCCTCGCTCTCATTTGAGAGGGAGCCAAGGACTGGGTAAGGAGGGGAAACTCCTAAACTGTCTCTGACCCAGGGCATTGACTTAAATCTCACTGCTGGGACTTCTAAGCTGTCCCACCAGAATTCATTATTGAACCCGAAATACAGATTTGGGGGGAAATTCAATTTTTAGAAGCACGGATTTTGTGAGGTTGCTGTCGTTTGACAAAGTGAATTTGCAAAATCATGGATGTATGTGACAGTTCTTCTCCCCCTCGCCCCTTCACGTTGGTTCTTTGTTTGTCTTTACAGTCCATGGTGGGGTCAGACATAGCAGAGCTACTAATGCAAGACTGCAGGCACCGGGAGAGGTACAAAAGACAAGAGCCGGTAGCCAATCTGATCAGCTTGACGGATGAGGAGTGGCCGGTGCAGGTCTGCGGGACCCCAGACCTCCTCACAGGGGAGATAGTGCCAAGTGCTGGCACACCGAAGCAAAATGTGGAGAAGTTCACCAAACTCCTCTTCTATGGGAGGAA